TACACACAAGCACATTTTTTGTATATTGGTGATGTGAGTTTTGCAAATACAAGTAGTGAGTGATATCTGAACTTATATCGTAGTAGTGCTGGGGGGAAACGATTATTTAGAAAACGATGAATCGGGCGATTATTTGATCGATTAGTCGACTAATCTAACGATTATTTTTCTGTTGTTCAATTCATAAAAAACGTAATGTAAAAAAAACGTAATGTAAAAGAAAATGTGTTCACGATACTGTGTCTCAGGGGATCTTAATATTTAAGAACCTATTAATGTGTTATACCAGATTAACGGAAATAATCTCAGCTAACTGACGATACAAACCATGTTTACCAAAACAAAACACAAGTCTCATAAGAAGCATCTAAATTACCCCTGAGCGAAAAATGCTAACGGACATTGGCACAGAACTCAAGATAAAAAGTACCCTTATTACTTATCGTAGCTGCACATACAATATATCCGATTAAAGCTGAGACTCCACAGATTATGTAGGTACATAGTATCATCACTGAGTGATCCGGACTCGCGACAGGGGAAGCAAATACAGTCATCACAACACGTACCTTCACAGAGCTTCTAGGGAGATCGTCTCACCACCGTAGCTGTCAATCTGATCAAAATACGTGTTCAATGGCATTAAAATGAGAAAAAACGCGGCTGAATCGGTTAATCCATAGGTTTTAACGTCTATGTATAAAAAAATGATTGAATTTATAATCCATAATTCCATTTTATGTAAAAATCGGAGAGCAAATGCTAGCTGCTAATGGTAGCCACCACAGCTAGCTGCTGCTTTCGGTCTAGACTATGCAGCAGTCTCAGTGAGATATAAATATATAAATATCTTTGCGTTTTGGACTAACTTTAAAATATTCCCATGCTTTTGAAGACCTGGGGCGAGATGTTTTCGTTTGGGGGCTTCGTGCGCAATCCTGTGAGGAGGAGGTGGTAGCCGTTTCAGTCTCCATTGTGTTTGAAGTGCAATTGCGAACTGCTTGTTGCTTTGGGTGACCCACGTGTGTGTAGCGACGCGTCGACGCGGAAATATGTCGTCGACGATATTTTGAAGTCGACGTTGTCGACGCGTCGCTACAGCACTATATCGTAGGCAAGGCAAGTTTATTTATATAGCACTTTTCAACACAAGGCAATTCAAAGTGCTTTACAAAAAATGAAAGACATTAAGAAAATGGCATTTAAAATCAGTCATTAAAAAGAAAAAGCTAATAAAATAAACATTAAAAGAAAAAATACATGGATAAATGTTACAGTGCAGTCTAAGATATGAATAGTTCAATTAAAAGCAGCGACAAAAAGAAAAGTCTTCAGCCTGGATTTAAAAGTAGTCAGAGTTGCAGCGGACCTGCAGGTTTCTGGGAGTTTGTTCCAGATATTTGGAGCATACTAACTGAACGCTGCTTTACCATGTTTAGTTCTGACTCTGGGGACAGAAAGCTGACCAGTCCCTGAAGACCTGAGAGATCTGGATGGTTCATAATTTAGCAGAAGATCAGAAATGTATTTTGGGCCTAAACCCAGGGCCGCCCCTCCCTACAGGCCAATCACGCAGGCTGCATGGGGCCCCGCCTTGCGCCGGGGGCCCCGCCCAGAGGGCCTCAGCTGCTGGGCGCAGTTCTCCGCTCAGTTCTCCGTGCACCCCCGCGAGAGTGAGAGGTGACAAGGGGAGCACGTCTGTAACCCGACACCGTTGCAATGAATCGACATCTGACCAATCACGGCTTTGATACGGCCACTAGTGCAGGTGAAGAGATGTCGGTGAAAAGACAGTTTCAGTCCGGCGCAAGCAAGAGGGAAAAAAATAAAAACATGAAGAAACTAGAGCATCACTCGAAGGTGGGTTATTGTATGAGTCAAATGTACAACTTGCGAATGTTATATAAGTCAAATTGCCAATTGCCATATTAAAACATCAGCTGCAATTCACGACATGAAGAAGGCAGTCTCTGCATAGCATATAGGCTAATGGAGATGCATGTTATTTCCAGCATTCTTTATTTAACATTCATTCAAGTATGTGATGCCTTTTATCTGCTAATATACAGGAGGAAGAGTGATACACTGTCTGTCTAGTTGGCTTACATAACAGTTCAAGTTTACAGCCTAAAAAACATGGAGCATTTTTTCCCCTTTTATTCATTTTTATGTCAATTTGCACATTTCATGGTGATGCTCAGCCTCTCCCCTTAACTCCTAACGGCCCGTCCACACAGCGGCGTTGGAAGCTTCTTCCAGAGCGGAGCTTTCCTGGCGTTTCAGGCTGCAAAGGTTGAGCAATGTTCAACTTTTTAAGCTTCTGAAGCTTTCGGTGGAAGAGTCAGCCAATCAAATAATATGCCAGTACAAGCTCTAGCCAATCAAACTGCTGCTTGTGTGTCTGGGGCGGGAGATTCATGTGATTGGTTGTTGGTCGAGCTTCAGACACGCCCGCCGGCAAGCTTTTTCCATAGCCGCTGTGTGGACGGGCCCTAACAGTCATCGTCATGTCAACCACAACACAGAGAAATACTGATAGAAATGTGTGTGTAGTTGTTGATACATTGCTGACAGAGGGAACTAGAATACAGATTTAAGAAATATCAGTTTTTGAGCATGTCATAAGCATGTTTTGTCTTGACTATATTACAACTATATTATAATAAAACAATATAGTATTTATATTATTGAATTGATTATGATTATTATGATTATTAGTAGTTTATTGCATTCATTATATTTTAATCATTATATTTTAATCTTTTTGAGGCTAATATTTGGCAGGAAATGCAGACGTATTCACCTGTAAACGCATGACGTACATGCACATTTACCATTTACCTCACTGTATAAAAAAGTAACTGTGTTGATAATAATAATAAACAGGAATTATATTTGCAAAGTAGCCTACTTTGTTTCCAAAAACAACTGTCGGTTGGGGGGGGGGCTCATCTCACAATGTCGCTTGGGGCCCCAAGTTGGCCAGGGGCGGCCCTGCCTAAACCATTCAGTGCTTTATAAATCAGCAGCAGTATTTTGAAATCTATTCTTTGACACACAGGAAGCCAGTGTAAAGACTTCAGAACAGGAGTGATGTGATCCACTTTCTTAGTGTTAGTGAGGACTCGAGCAGCAGCGTTCTGAATCAGCTGCAGCTTTCTAATAGATTTTTTAGTGAGACCTGTGAAGACACCATTGCAGTAGTCGAGTCTACTGAAGATAAAAGCATGGACAAGTTTTTCCAAATCCTGCTGTGACATTAGTCTTTTAATCCTAGATATATTCTTTAGGTGATAGTAGGCTGATTTAGTAACTGTTTTAATGTGACTGTTGAAACTCAGGTCAGAGTCCATGACTACACCTAGATTTCTGGCTTTATCTGTTGTTTTGAACATTGCAGACTGAAGCTCAGCGCTAACTTTTATACGTTCTGCCTTGGCTCCAAAAACCATTACCTCAGTTTTATCTTTGTTTAATTGGAGAAAGTTCTGACACATCCAGTCATTGATTTGCTCAATGCACTTACTCAGTGTTTGAATTGGAGCATAATCTCCTGGTGAAATTGTTACGTAAATTTGTGTGTCATCCGCATAGCTATGGTAACTTATTTTGTTGTTCTTCATTATCTGAGCCAGTGGTAGCATGTAGATGTTAAAGAGAAGAGGCCCCAAGATGGAGCCTTGAGGAACCCCACATGTCATATTTGTCAACTCAGATGTGTATTTACCTATAGAAACAAAGTTGTTTCTGTCCTTTAAGTAGGATTCAAACCAATTTAGAACTGTTTCCGAAAGTCCCACCCAGTTCTCCAGTCGGTCTAGTAATATGCTGTGGTCAACAGTGTCAAACGCAGCACTGAGATCTAATAATACTAACACTGAAGTTCTGCCACTGTCTGTGTTTAAGTGGATGTCATTAAAGACCTTTACAAGAGCAGTCTCTGTGGTTTGGACGAAAGCCTGACTGGAACACATCGAAACAGTTATTTAAATGCAAGAAATTACTCAACTGTTGAAAAACAACTTTTTCAATGATTTTACCTAGAAATGGGAGGTTTGATATGGGCCTGTAATTGTTCATTACTGAAGCATCTAGATTATTCTTTTTTAAGAGCGGTTTAATGACTGCAGTTTTCAGGGCCTGTGGAAAAATACCTGAGTGAAGAGATTTGTTTACTATATGAAGTAGATCTGAGGCCATGCAAGGCAAAACATCTTTGAAAAATCCTGTTGGAATAATATCAAGGCAGCAGGAGGAGGATTTCAGAAGTTGAATAATGTCCTCTAGGTTTTTATCATTAATCTGATGGAATTGTGTCATGGTGTTTGAATTGATGTTAAGTGGAGATAGGGGCAACACATTTGCTGTTCCTGATGCAGAGGCACTGACTGCTTGTCTGATTTTCTGAATTTTGTCAGTGAAAAAGGCAAAATCATTGCACGCCCTGGTGGATAGAAATTCAGAGGCTACTGACACTGGGGGGTTAGTTAGTCTGTCGACGGTAGCAAACAAGGCACGTGCGTTGTTTTTGGTAATGATGTCAGAGAAGAACGATTGTCGTGCGTTTTTCAATTCCAAATTATAAAGGCCAAGTCTCTCTTTATAGATTTCAAAGTGAACCTGGAGATTTGTTTTTCGCCACCTGCGTTCAGCTTTTCGACATTCTCTTTTTTCTGTTTTCACGGTCATGGCCTTTCTCCATGGAGATATTTTCTTGCCAGACACTTCCTTTACCTTAGTTGGAGCAATGGCATCTATAACATTTTTAATTTTTTAATTAAAATGATCTTTTTTTTTCTTGAGATGTTAGCAGGGGCAAGTGTGGAAGAAAAATTCTGAGTAAACATTTCCCTAGTATTTTCAGTTAAATATCGCTTTGTGGTTACCTCTTTTTGAACATTTTAGTGCATGTTTGGCTTGTTTTACATATGCCACAAGATTTAGATGTATTCTCAGTCATTCCTGCTAACCATCCTCTCTTTTCTCGCTCCTCCCTGCAGGTCTGATGCTCGGCTGCAGCTGCCACAGCCGCCATCATGTTCACCAAAAAGAAAAAGTCTCGGATCCAGATCTCCTCTCCATCAAACTTTGAGCATCGCGTACATACAGACTATGACGAGCAGGAGCAAAAGTTTGTTGGTTTGCCAAGGCAATGGCATTCTCTCATCGAAGACACTGCCAAAAGGCCAAAACCCTTCATCGACGCCACGGTCATCACTACTGTAGAGCCACGCAAGGTGGGGAAGCAAGGAATCGAATCAACAATCAAGTCATGGGCTTGTAAAAACGAATGTGTTAAACATACCAGCTGTATTTTGACTACATTATACAACATTTTTGTTGGATGATGGTTTAATTATATTACATTTGAGATTTCAACATGTCACCAAAATGTCACTTGCTCCAAAAAAGAACTAAAGGAGAAATACCAAATGAACACACATGGAAAAAACAAGATAATTACATTAGAGAACAACAGAGTTAATGAAAAATGATTAATTATATTTCATCCCAACTCATGCGTGCTACTACAAGATTTTGATGTTAAGCTACCCAAGACATTTACTTGTTATCTTAATTCTTAGATATTTATAAAGTTGGTAGCACTTAATGAAATTATTATCTGTAAAGTTGTGTATGAATGATTTTATTCTGTAACTAAATAGATTTTTTCTTTTACTGTGATTAGAATCATATAATAGTGCCAATTTCTCATTCATACCACTTTTAAATAGATACATGGTTTTACCAAAGCGGCTAATTGGAATGACAAGCTTTTTATATTAGGGCCTCTCATGTTCACTATCCACAAATCAAATCAAATTATTTTTAATATCTCCAGACAATTGTGCGTGGCAGCAAGCTGGGAGTGGACGGCTCTCTGACATGGCTGTTGGATGAGTTTGACACCATGTCTGTGACACGCTCCAACTCCTTGCGACGAGGCAGCCCCCCAATCCATCCTCGCAAGGACTCGGGCTCTTCAGGAGGAGGGGGGCAGGAGAACGGAGATCCTCACCACAGACACCACCCACACCCGGACAGGCAAGACAGGTACAGAGTCAAACTGCAGCATCTAATCTTAATGATGGAAACGGGACCAAAGCAGATGTTATGTCAATACCAGCCGATGAGGCATTTCACCACATGTTTCTGATTTTTGCTTTTCAGAGACCGACCCAGGCCAGACCACCATGCAGGTGGAGGTGACCCCCGCCAGGGTCCACGTGCACTCCGCCCTCCTCAGTGGGAGGAGGGAGGTCAGGATCGGCCTCAGCAGCAGCCCCGGGGCCAAGAGCCCAGCCGGGCCCACAGGGATAGACCGGGCTCCGGGCCCCCTCCCCCACCTCACAGAGACAGAGAGCATCGGGACCGGGACCAGGTGGGGCTGCAGCTTCACATTTATTGATGATGAAATCTAGTAATTGCTGTTTACAGGACTCAAATGGCTCTTTTTTTATCTTCGCGACGAACATGTTCATCTTTGTATATCTCACATTGATATATCCTTACATTTGACAACCCATCTACCTAATGATCCGTCCATCTCTCCACGAAACCCTGCCTCTTTTCAGATGGATCAACCAAGTGACCAAAGGCCAAAGTCCAGCTACATGGTGCGGGACGGCAGCCCTCAGTCTCCCAGGGACAAAAGGCCTCTCTCTGGACCTAACATCCGCACCCCTAACCTGCCAGTATCAGAGGGGCTGATGAAGACCACACAACAGAACACACGGCCATTCAACACCTACCCCAGGACGGAGAGTGAGGGCGGACGCAGCCCCACGGGACAGGTATGGACAGCAGCATGGACAGAGGGAGGGCAGCCCAGAGGGAAGCTATTGACCGAGAGAGAAAAGGCAGACAAGTGCAAATTGGGCAGCTCTTATCACCTTGCTCTTTGTTCAGCAGTCAGCGATGCTTGTGAGAGAATTCAAGCAGTTCAAGTTGAGGGCTTCTTTTTTTTTAAACACAGCTTTATGCCAAAGGGCTTTAAAGAATGATGCAATGAAAGCAAATGTAAACTATTCAGACAGTTCAGAGGGAAATGCACTTAAAGATGTTATCTTTTGTTGGATTTGAAATGAACAGTAAATCCAAGATCTTCCCACATCATGTATACCATACCCTCTGATATCCCTATAAGATCTTTCCTGGTCATTTTGATCACCAGTCAGCAGGTTATTGTTCCATTTGATCAGTTCTTGTCTTTTGCATCAATTGAAAGTACTTGGATTTTCCAGGTATTTCATTTGCTAGTATACTCTTAAACAGACAAATCTTTTTTGTAATTTTATCTATAAAAAGGTTTTTTCTGGCAAAATGAATATATCTTGTGAAATCAAATTCCATATTCTCTAACAGGGGATTCATTCCATATTGCCCCTTCCTACTATATAAATGGGGTATTCATATTCTATATAAATAATACATCTACAACGCCTGAAAGACTATTTGCTGTAGATTGTTACACTCGGCCTATGTTGTGTTTGTGATGAGGGTCTCTGTTTGCAGCCTGTGCGACACCATGAGTCTCCTCAGAACGGCCCCTCCAGCGGCTCCTCTCGAGGTTCCTCCAGCTCCAAGCCCCTGTAAGCCACCCTCATCACACATCCCATCCCAGCCTGACCCCTGAGGCTACCCAGCACCCACACCCCCTCACCCAAGCGTTCCAGCCCCCCGGCCCCCAGCACCCTCTGGGCCCCCGGCCCCAGGTGCTCCGCCCCAGGGCCGCTCGCCGCAGAGGGAACCCCAGAGGGTTTCTCATGAGCAGTTCAGAGCAGCGCTACAGATGGTGGTGGATCCTGGTGATCCGAGGACCTACCTGGACCACTACATCAAGATAGGGGAGGGGTCCACCGGGATCGTCTGTATCGCCACGGTGAAGACCACCGGGAAGCTGGTGGCTGTGAAGAAGATGGACCTGAGGAAACAACAACGCAGAGAACTCCTCTTCAACGAGGTGAGACTTTATGATCGAGTGAAGGCTCTGGTTCAAACAGTTACCACTGTTGCACGTTATGTTCTTTCTCTTTACCAATGACACCTCACCGAAATGTTTATCTGAAACTGAGAATTGTAAATATTTGTTTTATATCAAAAGTTCTCTTTTGTGTGTGCTTCACCATCTGTACACGAGATATCATTGGAACAGATTAAGACATGTTGCTGGTTAAATCTATGATGTTTTCTTTATTAGGTACACCTTTACAAATGATTGCAACTCAATACAACAGCTCTGTCATAAAATAAACAGAAACAAGTTAGTAGTCTTTACATTTTGTTGGCATGCGTGGAAATGTTTACATGAAGTTAATATTTATTACTGAAGTCATAGTTGTACTGGACTAAATTACATTTAGACATTCTTCCAAAGGGATTTTTCTGCCTCCTAACTCATATGAATATTAGAAACACCTCTTAATGTAATGCTGTACAGAACACGCACATCACTACACCTTTATACAACTATAAGACCGCTCTGTAAACTTCTGACAAGATCCTTAAGACCAGAACAGAACTATGGCTGTCTTTCTTGTGTTAAGATCTATGTGAACAGTAAGCTCCATTCTTACCTCAAGCTTATTTTGGAGTTATAGAATTCACAAATAAAAACAGCAGCCTGTCTCACACTCGGCTCATACAGCCTTTAAACGATGGAATTAAATGTAACACATCTGACATAATAGGTCAGAACTGCTCTCAGTAGAAATGACAGGTTACATGTATTTGCAGGTGGTGGAGCACACAGCTCCACTTCACACTCACAGTTGCTAATTGACACTTTTAGTCACTTTCAAGCTACAGTGTGTTATCAACAGCAACATCAGTGTACACACACACACAACACACACACACACACACACACGCACACACACACACACACACACACACACACACACACACACACACACACACACACACACACACACACACACACACACACACACACACACACACACACCCTACCTGCAGGGCCTCTCTTTTGAGTCCATGTAATTCAATTATACCTTCACCGTGTTTCCATCTGTTTCCGTGGTGACTGCAGGTGGTGATCATGCGGGACTATCACCATGACAATGTGGTGGAGATGTACAACAGCTACCTGGTAGGAGACGAGCTCTGGGTCGTCATGGAGTTCCTGGAGGGAGGAGCTCTCACTGACATTGTGACACACACCAGGTGAGAGAAACCTTTAATGCCTTTAAAGTGTTATTATGTAGCAGATGTTAACCACTGTATATGACCTTTTATTCTCTAAAAACTCATTTGTTTTACATGATTTCAACCTGTTATTGTATAAATACCGCTTCTCCATTCATCTGTATTCTGCTTTCAATTTGAAATCCCCAATTCACCAACATTGTGTTTTTCCACAAGGGGGCGGTGTTGCCTTATTTATTTTCTTCATTAATAAAATGAGCAATAATACTACAGTGTAAAAAGACTCTGTTTCTCGTCAAAGTCATGCATTCTTACTTAAGTAATAGGCCCATTTCAGGATGATAATCATTTATGCAATTAATGTCTGTTCACTTAGTTGTTATAATGCAGGTGCTCATTGAATCACTGCATTGACTGAGTGAAACGTATTCTATAATAATGTATTTTATAATCATCTGAAAATACTAAAGCTGTCACTTGTAAAATAGGGAAAACTAAATAAAGGAACAAGTGAAACACAAGTACATCAAAATTGGACTTGAGTAGATATATGAATTGACTTACGACCATGGTGTGTCATTTTACATGATCTATTTAATTGTCATTCTCAGTTGTAATTGAGTGTTTTCCTCTCTTGGAGCTACCAATCATTAATATGGCTTCAGAAATGACTGTAGAACCTGAATCAAACAGTGTTGATAGAAGTGCATACAAAGGGTGTACATCTGTGTGTGTCCTGCAGGATGAACGAGGAGCAGATTGCCACGGTGTGTCTGTCTGTCCTGAAGGCGCTGTCTGTCCTCCACACACAGGGTGTGATCCACAGAGACATCAAGAGTGACTCCATCCTCCTCACTCATGATGGCCGCGTATGTACCACATTCTTCACACTGCATAAACACACCTTAGTTCTCTTTAGAGGCATTTCAAACTCATTAAAGCTGCCTCCCTTTCAGTGCAGGAGTGCAGAACATCTGTTCCTGAGCTGCCCAGTCAGAACAGAGAGCCCAAGTGCCTTCATTATGCGCTTTAGTAGCAGCAAACATCCACTTTTATCAGTCGAACCACAACAAGCATTTCTTCTCAGACATCTCGGGAAGTCATAGAGGGACATGAGCAGGTGTAGTGAGTAACAATATGTTTTGATTTGTTTCATTGAAATGATCAAATGAGCCACCATCATGCAGCGATCATTTATGTCCTTCCTGCTTTGAGATGTTACCTGCCTGTTGTGTTTCTCACTGCACTGCAGCAGCCCCTGACATGACGTCACAAGTTGTTGTAAGAATGAAAATACATGACTGTGTTGTCTTTGTTCACCGCTCTGTTAAACTGGCAGTGTCACCAGCTCACTTCCTGACCATTTGAAGGCAGGTTTCTGCTTTCAGTAGAAAATGAAACCAACCTGGTTAGGCCAGAGGACAATGGAAGTTGTTTCTTGTGTGTCACAGTCCTCCTCGTCAGTAGTGGAATGTTATTAAGTACAAATGTGAGGTTCTTGTAGTTACTTACATATTTGCATTTTATGCAGCTTTATACTTCTACACCTCTCTTTGAGGTAAATATTGTACTTTTCCATCCCTGTCCTTTTGTGTAAAAAAACACATAACTCCAGGTGTGTTAATTTTGAGTTTTCGTAATGAACTAAAGTGTTTTTTTATGTGTTGAGAAAATATTTATACTTTTCAATCTAAATAAAAGCCTCTGGGATCAGCTGTCAAATATGTGTAGCATACTAAAGAATGAAAATACTTGTTCTAGCACTGTGTAAAACACAGTGCTAGAACAAGTATTTTCATGTACATAGCACTGTGTTTTAGTACATAGCACTGTGTTTTAGTACATAGCACTGTGTTTTAGTACATAGCACTGTGTTTTAGTACATAGCACTGTGTTTTAGTACATAGCACTGTGTTTTAGTACATAAGACCGTGACTCAGTGACTCAGATGCTGCTGAGTGCACAGAGGAGTGGTTCTGCTGAGTTGAGCTTTTAACCACAATTCTACCATCTAAGCAAGGCCGACGATTTGTGGCAAGTTTTCTGCTAAATGTCGTCAGCGTATGTGAAACTGGTGTCTTGTTCACATTGTTGGATCACAAAGATGACAAATGTTGTAAATCATTTGACAAAATGTGTCATTTTCTGCCAAGCGTAGCGCATCCTTTGTTTGTTAATCAATTTGTTTATAATAGGTTAATAGGCATATGTGTCTCAGCACCATCACATATAATATCTTGTTTGTGCAAGTCACAGATGTGATGCTAAGACGGCCTAAGGTGTTAACCACAGCCCCTTGATGACAGCTGGTGAGTTTGTGGCTTGTGTCTTTATGAGCTGTGGTGTACAGCAGTATGCATGTATGCCAGAGAGGCCTCTGGGACACTGAAGGGCTTCTTCAGCATTGTTGTCCTCTGAGGAACAGAACAAGGCAGGGGCTGCTTCATGTTGCTCATACTTCAATGTGTTTAATAGTGATGGTTATATGATATGGAAAGGTTTGTTGTATCTTTTTGATTTGCATGGTGCATGTATACTTTTCCAGTCCTGTTATTTCCCCCTGTGGACACAGCATCAGTGTTTCTAATGGTGGCCATTTCATGTAACCGTGTTTACGTGTCAGACATTACAAACGGAATGCCAGCACCCAATGTCTTAAAGAATACTTTGAAATACTTTCTTAAAACTTTAAGAAAGTATTTCAAAATAGGAAGCGGTTGATGTTTCTTTATGTTTATATCACTTTTGGTGGTAGATTAATTTGTAAACACTGAACTCAATTAAAGTTGTATCAAATATTTTGAGTTACATCACAGAAAGGCCTTTCTGTGTGACCTGGGTGTTCCTGCAGGCTGCTGAGGGCAGGTGGTGTGAGGTGGGTCTGAGGGGCTGCCCTCTTTGGGCCGGGAGGGGAGGCAGACCCCACCCAGCCTGATGTGTTCCTCGTCAGTAGGGCGGTGTATCTGATGCAGCTGTGTGATAACAGTTTGAAGCCACGGTTTAACTCTAGTCTATCCGGGTTACATTTCAAGCTTCTTGTGTTTCCCATCAGTGGCAGACATACTGAAACTGTGTCTTGGCTTCTCATAGTGGGTTTGTTTCATTTCTCTTTCTGTGCTATCTGAGGCTAACAGTGAGCCCTGTGGGCCGTATCAAAGCTCTCACTTGCCATGCAGAGTTCCTTAGAAAGATGTGCAGATGGTAGCAAAGAGGAATGCCATTGAGTGATCGCCTTGACGATTGAAGCATAAGCTGAGCCTCAGATCATATTTATTTCCATGTTGCAGGAACACACCTTTTTATGTCTTGTATTACTTTTCTTCATCGTTATGTAATCTAAAGTCAAATGTACCCTGCTGAGAAAAGCTTTTGGACCATTCATCATCCCATGCTTCATGTCGTTTTCAGTCTATCTATATTTTTGTTGTCCTTTTTATACTATAATTCCTACGTTGGTCTATTCTAATCAAACGACATATGTTGCATGTCTGTCCCTCGTGAGAGAGGTTGTTGCTCTACCCAAAGTGTATTCAGTGTTCTTCTGTTTTTAAGGGTAGGTATGCTCTGATTCTAAAAACGATTTGTCATCAAGTTATTTACTTTCTAGGGAAAATAATCTCCATGTTCATCAGTCATACCGGTTCTTTTCTTTTTGTAACCATTCCTTTGTGTGTCTTGCTCTGCCTCCAGGTGAAGCTGTCAGACTTTGGCTTCTGTGCCCAGGTGTCTAAAGAGGTGCAGAGAAGGAAGTCTCTGGTTGGAACGCCGTACTGGATGGCACCAGAACTCATATCCAGACTGCCGTATGGACCAGAGGTAACACTCGCACTCTGTTCATGTTGAAACATCTCTTCTGGTGGTGACTCTCTCTCTGTATCCAGGTGGATATCTGGTCTCTGGGTATCATGGTGATAGAGATGGTGGACGGGGAGCCGCCGTACTTCAATGAGCCGCCGCTCAAAGCCATGAAAATGATCCGAGACAACCTGCCTCCCAAACTGAAGAATCTGCACAAGGTACCAAGACAAAATGCTGCAGAGCACTTCATCACATAATAACACAAATGCTGTACAAATAAAAGACACTTTTCAAGGTTGGATTATAATCTGTGTTTAGGTAATGGGCTGAGTAATCTAAGACCTCTTTGTTCTATGCCTTTTGTAGTGGCTTAAAAGTGTCAACAAAGAAATGGCAAAGGTCCCAGCTGGACTACTGATAACGTTTTATCAACATAAGCACTAAGACAACTAAATCAATCTTTGATAAAGCAGACACCAGTACAGGGGGTCCGCGGGGTCTTAAAAAGTATTACAAGTTGATAAATCAATTTAGCGAAAATGAAAAAAATATTAAACAGCATTTTCCAAGGTATTAAATGTTGTAGCTTGTTTTCAATAAGTATATGAATGGTCCAAAGAGGTTGTGTTCTACAGTGTGCCTGAATGTAGTCATTGCGTAGGTGTGTAGTGTGATGCTGTGTAGTTTATTGATGGCATCCCGTTGGACGTGACGTCATCTGAACAGGACATCGCACGCTCACTGCTTGATAGCGCACGAAGGTCCGTTTACGCCGGTTGTTAAACAACATCGTTATGGGGAAATGCAAGTCTGCGTCTCTTGGGAACAATGCCTAAATCAAATACTACTTTCTAATGGTTTCTTTTTCTAATAAAGCTAAAGCTAAAACCTTCTAAAGCTGTTTAGTTTTGCTATCTTACAATCAAACTGCAGATGTGATGTATGTACAGTACGGGCTACTATTAATGGGCTCAGGGATCACCAACTACATTTGTCCAAGGGCCGAAATGTAACCAATAGACACTATCGCGGGCCAGCGATTTTTATATAGCCCAGAATTTTATAAATAGTATTCAGATTACTTTTGGAATACTTTCTTTTTCCATAACAGATGGGTATGTTTTGGTGAACAGGAGACACTTATTTTACTGTTTTAATGGCTTATCAAGAACTCAAACACAACATTGGTGTCATTCTGGACAGCTCTCTCTCATCTGCACCCCACATAAAAAACATCACCCGGACTGCATTCTTTGTACTGTCTTAAAACCTTTCTTTAGAATATGTTATGAATTGTAAGGTGTCCTTGGGTGCTTTGAAAGGCACCCCTAAATAGAATGAATTCTCATTATTATTTATTATCTGAAACAATGTAATAACTTTTAAAACTGTTTCCAGTCACTTGCCCCATGCATTTAGCAGCAGCAAGCCATTCACTTTGATTTGATCCCGTTATAAATGTCATCATCTCGACAATAAAGAAATGCTTCATAAACGTTATCTTGCACATTTTATCGAACCATCTCCGTTTCTAACTTTCAATATATTTTAAAAGAGATCTCTCTCTCATCTGCGTGCGGGGGCGGGGCCTCACAGACTCTGCATCTCTCTCTCGCTCACAGACACGCTGCAGCGCCGTGCAGTGTGCACACAGTTCTGCCGGTAATGAAGATTACATTTTGTGAGGAAAGTTTTCCACCAATAATTCCAATAAGTATTCCAAAATGTATTCACTTCAGGTTTACGAAAGTAACTGTAATCAGATTACTCGTTTTTCAAATGTAACGCCAGCTGAATACAGTTAGCCTACTTGATTTTTGTATTCTGATTACGTAACACCGTTACATGTATTCCGTTACAACCCAACCCTGCTTCTAGGCTACTGTCCCGCAGCTCCTGCCTCTCTGTTGGACTCTGTCGCAGCGTGGCTACTGCTGTGGTGCGGAGCGCATTAACCAGACACTTTCACGACGAAGGATCAATTCTTGTTCAAGGCAGGGAAGGTTTCGCAGTCTACTGTCCCGCAGCTGCTGCCTCTCTGTTGGACTCCGGTACTGCACCTTACTCACGAGACGTTGTAAACAAAGAAATGGGTGGGGGGCGAACGCAGTAATCACTCCGCCAACGCCACAGTCACCCCCGTCGTGCGGGCCGGATGAGAATGTCTGGCGGGCTGGATGTGGCCCGCGGGCCGCCAGTTGGTGGTCACTGGGCTACATGGTTTAGCCCCTGGTTGTGCAGCCTGATGGCTACAGGCACAAAGGACTGTCCGAGCGCTTGGTGCTGTGCCGAGGAGGGATGAGTCTGAGGCTGAACTCCTCTTCGTCACTAGCTCTGCATGGAGGGATGAGTCTGAGGCTGAACTCCTCTTCGTCACTAGCTCTGCATGGAGGGATGAGTCTGAGGCTGAACTCCTCTTCTTCACTAGCTCTGCATGGAGGGATGAGTCTGAGGCTGAACTCCTCTTCTTCACTAGCTCTGCATGGAGGGATGAGTCTGAGGCTGAACTCCTCTTCGTCACTAGCTCTGCATGGAGGGATGAGTCTGAGGCTGAACTCCTCTTCGTCACTAGCTCTGCATGGAGGGATGAGTCTGAGGCTGAACTCCTCTTCTTCACTAGCTCTGCATGGAGGGATGAGTCTGAGGCTGAACTCCTCTTCTTCACTAGCTCTGCATGGAGGGATGAGTCTGAGGCTGAACTCCTCTTCTTCACTAGCTCTGCATGGAGGGATGAGTCTGAGGCTGAACTCCTCTTCTTCACTAGCTCTGCATGGAGGGATGAGTCTGAGGCTGAACTCTCTTCTTCACTAGCTCTGCATGGAGGGATGAGTCTGAGGCTGAACTCCTCTTCTTCACTAGCTCTGCATGGAGGGATGAGTCTGAGGCTGAACTCCTCTTCGTCACTAGCTCTGCATGGAGGGATGAGTCTGAGGCTGAACTCCTCTTCTTCACTAGCTCTGCATGGAGGGATGAGTCTGAGGCTGAACTCCTCTTCTTCACTAGCTCTGTATGGAGGGATGAGTCTGAGGCTGAACTCCTCTGAGGAGGACCTGAGCATCCTCATGAAGAACAGCTGGCTCTGTCCCTTCCTGAAGAGAGCACCAGTGTTGTCTGACCAGTACAGTTTATTGCTGTACTGGTCAGACAACACTGGTGCTGCTGTTCCTCAGTGTTGCTGACGTTGAGCTGGAGGTAATTGTTGTCAGACCAGCCTACGAAGTTCTCCACCAGTGTCAATACAAAAAAAATAGCCGGATTTCTTAAATGTAATTCAATTTTTTGATTGAAAAGGTTAACATGGGAATATATCTGATGGAGAAATGTGGTTCCTTGGCTGTGTATATGTGCATGCAGCCAGAAACCATTAGTCAAAAGGATTTAATTCAATGTCTGACAAGAAATGACAGATACATGAATATTGATTTTATATATCGATATATTACGTTTGTTTCCACAGAAAAAAACTAGATGCAAAGCCGTTGGTAAGGTCTGAATTTGTCTCACTTCAGTCCAAATTCTCTGAGTAGAGATGTTAAGTTATTTATAGTGTGCACCCTTCCATATCACTGGACTGGAGATATCTTATAATGTACATGTGGTTTGATTTGATTCACTTCTCTATTTAAACAAATGCTACAGGCTAGTGTCATGAACACCTGAATCTGATGACTCTGAATATGTTCTCCCCCTGCCAGGTCTCCCCTCTGCTCAAGGGCTTCCTGGACAAGACGTTAGTGCGGGACCCAGCTCAGAGGTCCTCGGCCAGCGAGCTTCTCAAACACCCCTTCCTGACCAAGGCGGGGCCCCCCTCCTGCATCGTCCCTCTGATGAGGCAGAACAGGATGAGATGAGACCTGTGACACCAAGAGCTCCACACTCTGGAGGGTAGTGTGTGCAGGTTCAGATGGAACACAATATTCCTGCACAAAGAGGGGGGGGGCACAGAGGTCACGGCTGAGAGCTGCAGAGAGTAAACTGGGTGTGCAGGAGTATTCTTTTTTCCTTATGTGAATCACTGAACTGTAGAGGTGTACTCTTTCACAAAGAGGCAATAAGGTGGTGTGTGTGTGTGTGTGTGTGTGTGTGTGTGTGTGTGTGTGTGTGTGTGTGTGTGTGTGTGTGTGTGTGTGTGTGTGTGTGTGTGTGTGTGTGTGTGTGTGTGTGTGTGTGTGTGTGTGTGTGCGTGCATGTTGGCAACAGTGTTTTATGAGTGCCACAATTTGCCTGTCGAGTGATTTTATCAGAATTCATTTAAACGTTTTGTTTTAATGGAAGACTTGGAAATATTGTGGCTGTTTTTTTATTTTCCATTTGGACCTTACCTGGATTTGAAGTGTGGAGGGGGTTTGCACACCAATCGGATGCTTTGAAGGAGCCGTGAGCCCCAGGCTGATTTTAGGCATTGGCTGGGCAACATTTTAATCTCACCATTCGACGGTCTGAAGATGAATTCTCTCACTGAAGGGCTTCTCCCGCGGACAGATCCCAGACACTATCCTCATCACACCCAGAACTTACTACTGAGGGAGGACGTCTGCTGACTCAGACATGAGTCGGACAGACTTTAGTTTGTAGCCATATAAATACTAGCTTTCTGTTGTAAACAAGCAAACATACACTAAGTCAAAAGGTAAACACTGGAGTTGTGGTTTTTTTTAAATTTGGTTTTACTCTTATTTCCTCCTTATTTTCCTGTGTAAGCACAATGAACATAGAGAGGTATATCCATTTTGATGTTTTGCTATCTCTTTTTTGTGATCGTTTTATTATTATAATTATTATTATGATTTGTTTCTTGTATTATTTTAGAGAAAGATGTGATGATTTTTGAAGCACTGTTGACGAGAGATAGAAGCTGCACTCCCGGTTGATTCCAGCACGCAGACACGAGACTGTATTTAGTATTTCTTTAGACCAGATGGGATCTGTTGTCCATCCACCTCGTGATGAAGATAATACACCCCCTTAACACTGAATGGAACTACAATTCTGACAACGCTTATACAAATCCCAGCCCTGTTTTAACATTTCTCCATTTTTTATTTTTAGAAGAGTAGGCTGTTCCATGACCTGTTTTCTGACTGTAATAACTATTTCCCCTGAAAGAGGGTTCTTCTGGTAGAAAGTGAAAATGCTCAAATTTGTTGTGAGTCCACGTTTGTTTGGAGTTGTTTTATTCTGTGGTTCACATCCTCTCTCTGACAGTCATTGCTCTCCTTCAACAAACGCAGAGCGGCTGCTGTTCCAGGCTGCTGCTGATTAGAGCTCTCATCGCGTTATTCAATCAATTCATCGTTGACTTCCTCGTCAAGGCCTCTGACGGAGCGCTCCTGCATCACCTCACGAGTGCTTCAACGCTAAAGGAAACTCTTATAGTACTCTGCACGAAGACATTGTGTCCTTTCAGTGTCTGCATCGTGTGTTCTGTGACAGTGGGCCATTGGCAGATGACCGGGTGCTTCAGGCACAAAGCGCTTCTATGAAATCAATATGAACACTAGTTAGCAACAACTGTAATACTAACGCGCACACGCACGAACTAAAAGAATAATCCCACCTGGATTATAGCTCTGCAGCAGTGCAAAGTGCTCGGTTCATTTCATGACAATATGTAACTATAGCAGGTTTATGTTTATTGTCGGACACAAACACTCATCATCCAGATCAGTCTCTGCAAATGAAATGTTTTTAAATTCCAGCAGACACTAAAAAGAAATGAATGACACTTCAGGTCTGGTTTGTATGCCCTGGGTCACACTGCGCCATGTAGCGTTGGACAGACGATGGCTGGAGAGATGAGGCTCTGTTATGATTCCTCCTGAGGGTGGTTTGGCACAGAGATGCAGATCCACACATTCCCCTCGCTGCTGCGGCTGTTTCCATTCCTTCTATGTCTTCTGTTGCAACTAAACAGGGGCTTCAATGATTAGGGTGGCAGAGCACAATCGCTGTTGTCATGAACTATTCCACATATACTGCTAACATACAGCTGTCGGTATGCACTAATGATACAGTGCACATTGTCCTCTATTCTCCTTGTGCTCATGTGGAACCCAGTGGCTGTGAGGGCTTGTGCAAATAGCAGGATGTGTTCCAAGCTAGAACTTGTTTTCTAACAAAGATGATCATTGTTGCAAAGCACAGCAATGATGAGAGATAGTCAATCCGCCCTAAGGTGCTCCCGGGCATGCAGTCTGTCGGTGTGTCCTTGGAGTCCTCTCTGGGTTCCTTAACGCTCTCCTGTTGTAGCAGCGGTGTAAGCACAACAATGTAGCTTCCACTTCCTGAAACAGGTGTTCTCTGGTTTACATGAGCAGCTCTGAGACACTGCAGGCTAAGTGTTGGTTCATCATCAACGTTTTCTCTTCCCAGTAACATTCACTGAAGATAGCTTCCTGGTTGCGTCTTTGCACATTTCAGCTGTGTTTCTGTCTGATGCGTGACACTGACTCACAGAGTGGGAAACATGCCTTGAGGGACGTGGAGGATGATTGACCGAATGACATCACGTATGGTCCAGGTCATTCAGCTTTGGATTTTTTGGTTATGACACTTTCTCATTTGATAACAGGCAGAATCTCAAATTAGACCATAAGATCTGGACGTATTGATTCTTCACTCACATGTCATAGAGTTGAAATCCACTGGTAAATGCATCTGGTGAGCTTCCTGCTGTTCTTTTTGAGAGGACGGAATATGTATACGTTTGATAGCGTAAGAGAACCACTGATAGGACAAAAAGAAATCTAATCATTTTGAGAATAATGTCATGCTGTATATTATGAGGGTGAAAAATGTGTATTTTTTGAAAAAGAAAGTCATATTTTACCGACTATTTTTAGATATGATCAAAGCTAAAAGACATTTGAATAGGATTCTATGTTTAATGGTTTGGCTCTGCCTCTTTTTCACCTCAACATCCTCAAACATATTATACCAAGGTACTCATTTGGCACAAAAGACGCAGACCACTCAGACATTTGTTTTTCAAAATATGTTGTCTTTTCCTCTTAGAATTGAAATTGAACCTCTAAATATTGAAACTTCTGTCATAAAACATTTCGCCTTTGTTTTCAGGTTATTTGGTTTCCTACCTTGGCCCCATCTGTTGTGTGTGTCCTTACATTGTGTTAGAGTTTGTTTCCCACCTTGTCCCCTGCATGGAGGTCAAGGTGTTATATTATGTGTTTCCTGTTTATCCCACATTCAGTCATTTCTCCTTTAGGATCAATGTGAAAGTCCCTGATGTGTTCTGGTAGAATGATGGATCTTTGGGTAGACTGTAACTACATTTGTATGGCCCAGATTCTACTGCTGTGTTTGTGTTGGAGGGTATGTTTGTGTACATATTCATGATTTCTTGCCTTAACATTTACAAACGCTACTTGACGGCTGACGGTGTTGACACTACGACTGTTAAAGACGGAGAACAGAGACTTCCATGACGCTTCTTGTCATCTCGCATATCTGAATAAGTCCAATCATTTGTGTCAGAAGTTATGAGAAGATCTTCCTGCTTGATACATTAAAAAGGCTCTCATTGACATTCCTGCTGAGACCACTTCAGATTTTCTTCTCAACTCCATTTTCAGGAGCTTCCAATAGTTTTCATTTCTTTACAAGTAGCCAATGAGCAGCCCAGTGCTGTGTTCAGGGTTCAGTGCCTTGCCTTGCGGCATATTGACCGACATTTTGCAGTTACATGAATTGTCTTGCCTCTTGGGAAAACCCCCATTAACTGGTTTCCATAGCGACTGTGTGGTGACTGATGCCCATTGACCACTACTGACTAACCAGCCTGCGCTATGAAATATGTGACAAATGCGTAATTGTCATTGACTTGCCTTTTGTTTTAAATGCTGGTATTGACATGTCTTGCCAAACATCCAATTCCAACTGTTCCTGCTCCATCTTGTTTTTGTACATTTCACTGGTATTGTAAAAAAAAAAACATAGACTAAACTTTGCAAATTATGCTTCTTTTTTTTTTTAATACAGATTTTGTAAAAGTCACCATGGTGTCGGTTTTCTGTTCTTTTTGTCTGTTCTGAAATGTTGTTTTTAACGGACGCCCGCTGACAGAGGTGCAGCGAAGATGCATTTATTCTCCACTTAGGAAGCTTTAGAGTAAAACATGGTCACACATATTCCACAGGCGAAGAGATGGCAGCTCCATGCTCATCACACATATTGGTGCCAGAGGAAAGTTCTTGTAAATGAAAAACGTGTTTTCTGTGTATTGTGGCCTTTTTGGGACACATCAGTCATCATCATGCTGAGCTATAGGGGCCCAGCTGTGATCAGATAGAATTGCTAATGGCGAGAGTTTTAGAAAGGATGTTAATGTGCGGTTAGAACCAAATCAACATGAATACATTTACAGTTGGCATGTTTTATCTTACTGTGATACCTTAAATTACACCAAGTACTGCAACTCAATAACAGAAACTCTTCCAAAGGATTCTAAAGGGTTGATGCAAAAGACAGATTTGTATTTGCCAGCTGGGGCTCGCAATTTCGAAGATGGACACAAAATGTCCAAAGATATCAATATTTGATCAAATCCTTATTTGATTTGCTGCGTGTATGGAAGTGCAATTATATCTAAATACATCTCAAAAACGACACGCATGGTGAAGTACCACACCTTGTGCAGGTGCTCCGTGGAGAAATGCTCCGCTTATTAAAGCATGTTTTCAATAGGGCCCATGTGGTCGGTTATTCATTAGATGATGCAGAATCCAAATGACCCAAAGTTTGTCCCTAATTTGGTATCAAACTTTTAAAAGAAGAAGAATCATCACATCATTATTCCAAATCTGTAAAGTAACTAAAGGTTAAATACATGTAGTGGAGTAAAAGTACACCATTTACCTCTGAATTAGTGGAGTAGAAGTACAAAGTATAGCAACAAACTGTACTTTACTCTAGTAAAGTACAGTACTTAAATTAATGTACTTAGTTACTTTAAAGTTTAAACCACTGGTAAAATGATACCGATAGCGGGTGCTAGTAATATTAAAACCTTATTTCTACATTTCTGTTGACATGATTAAAGAAAACCCTCCCAACAAGTTCTCTACTTTTAATCAATGTGCCTCCCCAGTGTTGGATATTAAGGCCTTAGTGGAGAATCATCCTTTAAAGTCACCCAACTGAATAATAAGATGTGTGATAAAGATCCACATGCTGCGTGGTGAGCTGGAGCTGCTCTACACAAACCAGCAGCTCTATTCTCTGCTCAGCAGCAAGCTTTTATTTATAGCACTTCCGTCAAGTCAGTGGAAGTGTGGTGTGTGTGTGTGTGTGTGTGTGTGTGTGTTGTGTGTGTGTGTGTGTGTGTGTGTGTGTGTGTGTGTGTGTGTGTGTGTGTGTGTGTGTGTGTGTGTGTGTGTGTGTGTGTTGTTGTGTGTGTGTGTGTGTGTGTGTGTGTGTGTGTGTGTGTTTGTGTGTTGTTGTGTGTGTGTGTGTTGTGTTGTGTGGTGTTGTGTGGTGTGTGTGTGTGTGTGTGCTGTGTGTGTTGTGTGTGTGTGTGTGTGTGTGTGTGTGTGTGTGTGTGTGTCAGATAATTCACTTGAGTTAATGTTGCACTTCTACAACATATAAATAATTGGTCACAAAAGTCCTACATTCAAAATACCATTAGCATCAAAATATACTTTAAAAACCAAAGTTTATATTTATTAATAATAATGTAAGTCCGTACTAAACTAGTAACTAAAGTGTTGAGCCAATGTAGTGAAGTGAAAAATAGACTATATTTCTCTAAAGTGTTATAAAGTTCCGTTACCTAAAGTTGCATTTTAGTAGGCTACACATGGAAGTAAATGGATTATCTAACATTTTGTTTCTACATTTGTGATCGAAGCGGCCGCGATTTCCCTTTTCTAAATAACTGCGTGCTCGTGCATGTGTGCGTGTGCTTGCCGGAGCGCGACTCTGTGCTGTGAGGTAATGGGAGCTTTTCCAGAACTTGACAGAGCCGCGCAGGTGGGCGGTGATTGGCTGCTCGCAGCAGCCAATCACCGCCTGGACTGCTCGCAAACACAGCTGATCGATGAGTCAGCGCGAGGGAGCGGAGCAGCACCCACTTGTTGCTGAGGCAGGAGCGGAGCTGACGGAGATCTACAGCCGTGAGCCATCTCACCTGCCGGGGAACCAGAGGAGCTTCTCCAGCCTACAGCCCCTCCGCCTCCCGCTGCTGCCTCTCCGCGGCTCTCAGGTGAGACTTCGAGACATTTGGTATAAATACTTGGTCCAATCAGAGACCTGCCGGCACGCTTTAAAAATCAATAAGCTATAAACACATAACATACCGTCACACGGTGTCCCCCGCGGGGTTCTATTTTATAGCCTTTGATCAAATCAACTGAATTGCTGTAGCTGTGAGTTCATACAGAGAAAACATGAACTGCTTATTGCCTATTAATGAAACCTTCTGGTGACAGAACGAGGACCAGAATCAGCTTTATTCATATGACCGGAATGGACATCTAAAACAAGGACAGCCAATCAATGTCAACATAAACATATAACTGATATGTAAAATCAACAGAGCGCAGAGGCTGCTGGAATAGATCTTGGATGATTCATGAAACAGATCGCTTTAAACAGGGTAGGTGGATAATGATGTGACGGTGATGATGTTCATGTCAGTGTGATGGACAGTGATTGTTAGGGGGATGGTTCTTGATAGTTAATAACCAAAGGAATATTATTGCGAAGTCATGAAGCTTCCACTGAGGAACAAAGGCTCTTTTACATTTAGTACCCGAGGGGCCACAGTGTGGAGCTGAGAGGTGGTCCGGAGGGGCCACAGTCTGGAGCTGAGAGGTGGTCCCGAGGGGCCACAGTGTGGATCTGAGAGGTGGTCCCGAGGGGCCACAGTGTGGAGCTGAGAGGTGGTCCTGAAGGGCCACAGTGTGGAGCTATGAGGTGGTCCCGAGGGGCCACAGTGTGAAGCTGAGAGGTGGTCCTGAAGGGCCACAGTGTGGAGCTATGAGGTGGCCCTGAGGGGCCACAGTGTGGAGCTATGAGGTGGTCCCGAGGGGCCACAGTGTGGAGCTATGAGGTGGTCCTGAGGGGCCACAGTGTGGAGCTATGAGGTGGTCCTGAGGGGCCACAGTGTGGAGCTATGAGGTGGCCCTGAGGGGCCACAGTGTGGAGCTATGAGGTGGTCCCGAGGGGCCACAGTGTGGAGCTGAGAGGTGGTCCTGAGGGGCCACAGTGTGGAGCTGAGAGGTGGTCCTGAGGGGCCACAGTGTGGAGCTATGAGGTGGTCCTGAGGGGCCACAGTGTGGAGCTGAGAGGTGGTCCCGAGGGGCCACAGTGTGGAGCTATGAGGTGGTCCCGAGGGGCCACAGTGTGAAGCTGAGAGGTGGTCCCGAGGGGCCACAGTGTGGAGCTATGAGGTGGTCCTGAGGGGCCACAGTGTGGAGCTGAGAGGTGGTCCCGAGGGGCCACAGTGTGGAGCTATGAGGTGGTCCCGAGGGGCCACAGTGTGAAGCTGAGAGGTGGTCCCGAGGGGCCACAGTGTGGAGCTATGAGGTGGTCCTGAGGGGCCACAGTGTACTCTGTCAGTCCCTGGATGTGTTCAGGACTGTGATCAGGTTCAGACGGTTGGTTGGACAAAAGAGGCGATTGTACTTTTTTTTTTGCCATTTCATAAACCAGAAAATGAAAACACATGTTTTCAGATGAAATGATAATGATTTAGTTTAATATTTCAACTTTAGATGTATTAAAAAAAAAAGTGAACGCCTGGATGTGTGTGACTGTGTGTGACCTGCTGGAACCCCCCCACAGATAATACTGAGAAGGCCTACTCCAGACACACTTGGGAGCCTTTTTAGTGCAATTAAATACAAATGTATTCATCACTGTTCCACAAAACATACAGACCTGGTAATAACTACATTAATAGATCTGTAAAAAGCTGCACAGGAAGTGGCAGACAGCGGGAGCTAATATGGAGCCTACTGCCTGCTTTACCTGCAGGAACATCGAGTATGAGCTTCACCTTTTACAATTATTATATTGTTGTTTATTCCCAGTTGTTCTATATCACAAGGCAAACCCGATCAATACAAAAAAAAACTTGTGTGATTCTGTCATTCATATTTATTCGGCTTCAATGTTCAATTAGCTTAATTTGACCATGTTCAGAGGGGGAAGTGTTTCAGTGATTGAAGGCAAACAGCAATCTGTGGCAGCACATCATACAGAGACCAGCACACTGCTGTGTACTGTGTGTACTGTTCAGAGCATGAACACACCCAAACATCCCCTAATCTCACTGAGCAGGAAGGAGCAGGTTTCTTGTGATTGCTATATTTGTCATATATGATTATATCAAATTAAATATAGACAAGAGGACGTTTTGAAGGCATTGTCTGTGAGAAACACTGGCTTCTCTTCCTCAGTGCTGTCCGGCTGTGATGATGGCAGCTTTGGTTTTCTCTGGTAATGTTGCTTGTGTTTCAGGTTGATTAGAGAAGTGGAACTCGGACTCCTCACACATGGATAGGGATGTGGTAGAAGTGTCTGAAGAGTTCTATGTTACCACTTAGAACTGAAAAGCTAAAGTCTCTGAGACCCCAAACAACAGTTCATATGTCCTCTTCTGTATAGGACTTTTATTGGAAAATCACATGTATAAGCAATTCTCATAAAATAAGAAAAGTGGTGAAGCTTGGAGGTGCAGGAACAGAGGGAAGTAGAGGAGGTGAGGACTACTACGTCAATGTTTGATGATTCAGATCATTGCTCAGACATCGCTTTGTGTCGATGGCAATGAATGTTCATTTAGTGTTCATTCGTCATCACTTATATTAGATTGTGTTTACTGTACATTTCATTTAAGTGATTCTGTTACTCTCTCCTGCCACCTTCCTTCATCTCGGATGCAATAAGTGCTGCATTTAGTTACTTTGGGCCTGGGTAAGGGCCTACAAGGAGGCGCTCACCTGGACCAAAGCTCAATACTATTCAACCATAACCCACGGCCAACTGTT